CATGCAATTAATTGCATTTGAGAGAGAAATGGGATGTGAAAGCCTTCCCTGAAACCAAAGAAAATACATATTTATAGGAAAAGTAGAGGAAAGATTGTGTTTATTCTATGAAATTTTATTATGCAGTAATTACAAAGTTTAAATACTTTTCAGTTTTAAATAAAAATAAGTGTCATTAAGCACATTTATATAACTATGTCAAGTGATTCCAACAAGTATCACATAAAATACAGTGCATTTTCAAATCAGAGAGACAAATACGTTCTCATTCACAGTGTTTGACATATTACAAGAAAGCTTGTTTCACATAAGGATTTATTGTAAGGTCATGCTATTATGAACAGTACAGTCCACACCATGCTGTGCCATTCAAAAATAATCTCTCAGAATGTGAAGTAACGAGCAAACCATTCCTGACGTTGTGGATCTGGTGAAGCCATTGAAGAAGCTTCAGTCTGAGGAGGGCTAGATTCATAAAGAGAAAAGACAGATTTAACCCACAACCAAGAGTCAAGGCGCAAAATCCCTGGAAAAAGCATGAGATAGAATACGCAGCATAGAATCAATTTTTATAATTTCAAAGTCACATCTTATTAGTCTGTGAGGTAGTTTAATTCCCCATTTTCTACCTTCGGTCATCCACTCCATTGGAGAGCATCAGCAGCATAGACAAGTCACTAAGCCACACAACAAGGCAGAAAAATAGTGTTTTGGGAAAAAAAAGAAAGAATGGAGTTGCTGCTTTTCTTTAAAAAATGTGAGGGGAAAGTTTTTGTTTATAAAGAGCATCCTCTTTTAGCATCCTTTTCTTCTGGTCAAGTTAGTTGTCAAATATGATGCAAGCATCATATTCTTTAGGATGTGTTGCTGAATTTTCTGGCACTGAACAATTACATATTTTAAATATTACAAAACTCAGAGTGAATTTCTGAACTTGCATGCACATGGAATTGGATACAGTAGAACAAGGGATTCGGTACAAAGCAAGCCCATTTTTTATCCATAAACATAATTCTCAAGTAAACCTGCATGATATAATCACTACATATACTTTATTCCTTTAGTAAAATTAAATTTTGTGGCTAGAAAATTAAAATAATTCCTACCGTTTATAGGACAAATCAGAGAACGAAATAATTTGTAAAGGAAACTCCATCATCACAATTCATGAATTCATGCACATGCTTGTTAATGGCGTCTGAACATACATGCATTTTACATGCAAAGGGAAAAATAAGGAAGATTACATTTTATAGGATTTCTATTTAAGTTAAGAAATAAAATGTTATTGTATTTCAAGCTTACTATTCAATTTTCTGCCCCAGCTCTATTTTGTAAGTAGCATTAAAGTGGAACTAGAGTAAAGAAGACATTTACTTTTTCCAGGATATCAAGCATTATGATGTTATTTTAGTCTAGTAACAAAACTTTCTGAATTATAATGCAAAGCTGAGCTTGGTATTTTAATGCTGAAGCATAGCATTAAATGGTATGTACTACATGCACATATTCACACATATTCAAAGCTTGTTTTCGAGAAATATTTTTTCTGAGGTGAGGAAAATCAAAACACATCTAACAGGGTAAACATTTCCTGTCACATAGAACTACTGTTACAAAATACCATTTTGATTTGGGGATTGTAACATATTCTTGAAGCTAGAAATAACACAGATTTAACACAAGTTCATAAAGGTAAATAACTGAAAGCACACAAAGCATTGGTATAGCACTTCAAAATTTTAAGGGAAGTAAGACTTATTGGGGGAATCACAGTTCAGCAAGCTTTACAATAAAAAGGGATACTATAAAGAGGTTTAAAATAGTGTGAAAATTATAATTCCAAATAATATTTATACTCCAGTATTGTTCTTAAACCAAGCGAGGTTTAGCTAAAAAGAAATCAATTTTTGTTTTCCAAGTTAGGAAAAAAAGAAAACCAAAAACTGGTGAGGCTCTGCTCACCTCAAAACCATCTTGGGCTCTTTGGGTGGTATTGGCTGTGGAAGTGGTCTGCTGCTGTTGAACTCAATATCGTGGATGGATGAATTGGGAATAGGGTCCAGGCGGTTAGCATGTCCATTGCCCACTCCACTAGATTCCAATGCACTTAGATTGGGGACACTCACAAACCTGTTTGCTGATCTATCATTCTTCTTCTTTTGCTGCATTAAAGATAACACATGTAAGGAAGGGACTGTACAAACGAGGGAGTTCCTGAGCTGTTTTACATTATTTTATTCTTTGTTAATGGTTTGGGTATTGGTGCAATATGATGCTTGACTTTTCAATAATTTTAGTAGATTTAGCTTGTATACGGATTACAATTCCTGAAGAACAATGGAAACTGCTTCTCTGTCAAAACTAACAATGTATTGCTATAACTCAGTATCACTCAGCTGTAGAAATGGAAAGTTCCCATTGTAGGAGAAAAAATGATTTTACTTCCTATTATATTTGCAGCCATTTCCTTATACAATCATGGTAGTTCCAGATTACCATAAAATGAATTGTATACCGCTTCAAAACATTTTAATGGGAAATGACAAATATTTTAAAGAAACAAATAAATAAATAGGATTACAATCAATGTCTGGGCCAGTACATTTCATTTCTCAGGAAAAAAGAACTTTCAACAAAAACATTTAATTTTCATTTTTATTTATGTTTCTGGATTTAACTGGTGAGAGAATATAGCAGATGTTGCCATATTGACACCAAAGTTCCTATATTCTGCCAACAGGTGAAGAGTTGAATAGATTACTTCCAGTAGCCACACAGTGCCCCACTCAAGTGACCCATTCTCTAAGATACTTCTTCAAAAATGACAAATCTTTTAATTGTACTAAGGGTTTTGATATATACCACAACCTTTAGATTTTCACAGAAAGTTCTGCTTCCTGCTTTCATAATCTTTCAAGCGTTTTTTGTTACTTTGCTAAAGATACTGGTTCAGATTCAGCATTATCTGAAACATAATTATTATGGTCCACCAGACACAATTAATTCATTGTTTTATGCTTGAACATCAAACAGGTGGGGAATACAGTAGGTTTATCAGCTAACAGTAAGCCATAATAAACAGCTAATATATTGTAAATGGCCCAGGAAGTACTGAAGGCTCTTCTTCATGACTGAGTTAAAGTGCTGTCTATTGCTATTAATTAATTAAAAATTTTAAACAACCCAATAGCCAAAGTTTTCTAGATGGTTTACAATAAAATTATTTTTTTACATACCAAAAAATACAATTTGAATAAAAACATATGCAATAAAATGCAAAATAAAAACACTATATAAACTTGAGTTGACAGAAACTTATGCCAGCAAACAATCTGCTAAATTTACTGCCAACTCCTATTTTGTTACAGTAGCCAGGCTAGTAAACAGGGCTCTCCTTCATTACTGTGGACTTAAGTTAAGGAAAGTGATTAGTGAATTCCTCTGATTTTGTCTCCTCTCTTATCAAGCATTACCTGTTAATTGGAAGATAAGAACCAATCATTATCCCTAACCCAAGGTGTGGTCAGTTTGGATGGATGTTTAGAATAGCTGATTTAGCCACCTATCAAGTTGCCAGGGCATATTTGTATCATGGTTAGGGTCAAGTGAAAAGGAGCCCAAACTTTAATTACTCTGGCCAAAAACTAATTATTTAACCCTATTTAAAAGAAGTATGGCCTATTATACACATAATAGAAGTTTAACTAAATTCAAGCAAGAATGGCTTCATATATACTATATATCACACAGTAAAGCAAATACAAACACAGTATGGTTTTAAAGTTTATGTTAAAAAATACTGTAAATCAGTTGGAACACAAAGAAGGGGGAAGTCAGAAATTAAATACTTATCTATACTATTTTAGTAGGTTTTTTTCTTTTTCTTTTTTAGTATTTATAATAACATAGTGGAAATTTTGGCACTAATCTCAAAGATACCTTTTCATATCATAAAAACAATTCAGTGTTATCTTTTATTAATTTTATATTGAGCATTTTGTATAACTTAAGTAATTTTTCTCGTGCAGTTACTGATATTACCTCTTTTGAAATTGTATCTTTGTTTTAAAAATAAAAAGTAAAAAAAAGTATCACTTTATTTTTCAGTTAGGAAAAAATACAGTCCAATTTCCTTCATTTTGTTTTAGTTTAAATGGAAGATTTTTTCCCAAACTAAATCTCCTCAGCTGAAGATCTGTTACTTTTTCAGTGTTAGGTTGCTTCCACATAAGAGACCTGTAGCACTGCAGAACAACATTTCCCTGTAATTTAACTGAAATATTCCTCACAGAACTAAACATATAACACTATTTTAGTTAGCAGTACAATTCTCCAAGGCCCAATCCATGTTTATAATGAAAACAATACTGCATAGGAGACAGCCTTTCAATTTTAGTTTGCAGATCTTGGTAACTGTTCCCTATTGATTCACGTTTCTTAAGATACAGAGACTTTTAAATTCTTGAAAGCCATTCTTGATCTCACCAGTATCTGTCGCTTTGTTCTCATGGTTTTACCAGAGAAAATAATACTATTCTGCTATATAAAAAAACCTAACCATATATATGTATGAAAGCAGTTTGGTAATTACATCTCTCCCTCAGAACTGCAATGGCAACAGAATGGGCCAATTAAGCAAGCCATGTTGGTAGAAGCAGAGTCAGGAAAAACCTACTAAAAGGAAATTATTAATAAATGAATCAGGTTCGAAAGATTGCAACAGTGCTTTGTTATCTTCTCTGGACTCACGGTATTTTATCATAACAAAAAAAAGGTTATTAATCTGATCCAACAAAACTCAGGAGCACAGTGCAGAAAACATTGGATTGCAACAATTTGACTAAGATGGCTTTTATACCTTGTCAAACTGCTTCCAGGCAGTGATTATACTGTACACTCATCCTGCCTCATTTACATAATATTATAGCAGTGCAAATGATATTAATTCATTTGTAATCATTTACAATCAGCCTGTGTTTTTCTTCAATTAAATGTACCTTTCTAACCATAAAAAAAAATCTAATAAGAAAAGAACATGCACACTACATTTTTTTTTCAATGAGGTGTTGAGAAAAAACATGCTATTGAGAAAGGGGTAACACACTGAGGATACTTTTCCTTTTTCTACAGTCTGCCACACATTTCTAATTGCAAAGGCATTTTGTATCAGTCTCTGCTCAGACTTTACTTATAAAACAGAAAGAGAAATCTTATTAAACCTAGCAGAGCTTAGATTTGAATAAACACATAGGATCTAGTTTTAATACTACAATCCCTGTACTGCTCTTCAACTTATTTATTTTTCGTTTTTTGAAATATATATTGGAATAGATACATTTTGCAATTGTTCAAAACCAGACCCTTTTAATTATTTTTAATTGATACACATCAGTTTCAACTGCTTGCTTTCCTTCTCCTTTTGAATCAAAAGAACTGTTCAAATGTCTAGAAAAGATTATTTGAAGAATATAATTAAATTACATAGAGGATATAAAGGTATTTCCAGTGTCAAAGCTGACAAAAATTTTTAAAAATCAAGAGGTAAGTTTTCATTTGAGTGTAGGAAAAGACAAACAGTTTTCAAATCAAAACTGTGGTGTACATATCTTGCATAATAAAAATTAAACACATGTATGTAACAATGATGAGGGGTCTCATTAGAAGAAGAGACAATATACTTAATCAATTATGAGATTCTAAAAAGAAGTTCACTTTCTGCATTATAGCCATGATTTACAGTGCTATGAGAACATCAACTAGAAGTATCAATCATTGGAATTCTCTATAAAAAGTAAATGAAAAGTTGATGACCACTGCAGAAAAAGGGGCTGTCGAAGCAATGTAGACTATTATTAACTCAGTTTCATATTAGGAAGTATGAAAATGATACTTCTTTCCACTAGATGGCACAAATAATTTTTTTAGAAAGCATACTATCTTTATAGCAAGATCTGACATTATTTTAGCAGTAATAATTTATATTTCCTAACATTAAATATTATTTGCTTTATATACCAAAACAGAACATAGCGCATAATCTCCATAGCTTTGTGATGGATCCAATAATGGTATTCTCCAACTGGATTTTGAGTTTTTTCCTTTGGGCCAATATGGATTCTATCGCTTCTTCTTCTGGGGAAAGGCATTTGGTTCTCTTATAACAATTCACTAACGAACATATATTACACAAACATTGGAATGATAATCTGCAAAGGACTTAAGAGATATAATTGCAAACAAGGTAATGGTCTGAATCCAGAATTGCTGATATGTAATGAAGTATTTCTTTCTTTCATGGAAGAGACTTTGTTATAACAGAAGCTCCAGATGAAGGAAGAGAAGTAATCTTACAGTATAATTATGGTATAATCCTTATACCATATTTTTCTAATTCACTAGTGATAGTAACTGCTAAACCAAATAAATATAAAAATTTAATTTTGAAAGAGGGTATTAGCAATCAAAGTGCAGTTGCAAAGATGGACAGAATTACCAACATAGTATGAGAAAATGATCAAGAACAAAACTATTTTTGAGAAACAAAATATAAAACCATTCTGAAATACAATTCCCACCTAGGTGGCAGAACCATCTCAAATGCTAAACAAGCTCAAAATAGATTAGTCCTTGGATGGCTCACAAACAGCCTGTAGAGTAGACTAGGAAATCAAAAAGACAGCATGAAAGAATCACTATTTATTGCTCCTAAGAGAATTACAGGATGTGTCCAGGAAGTCACCAGGGGTTGAGCATGACTCTAAGAAAATGTTACTTTAAAAAAAAATCCTGTGTTAAACAAATATACTATATAAGGACACTTTTGTGTCCTGTTTAAAACCTATTACTCTAAATTACACACAACATAAAATCCCCTAAGAGCCACAATTCTAATTTACAAAATCATACATACTTGAATTTTTCACTGAAAAGAAAAAATGACAATATTGTGAAAACCCTGCCCATTCTCAATCAGTGCTGTTGCCTGGTGTTTTACTCTAGTTTGTTACTGAACTTCTGTTTTTTGTTTTGTAATATTAACAACCCACATTTTCTACTTTTAAGGGAATAATTATGTTGCATACCTTTACTAGAGGATTAATAACACCAACATTAGGACTTGCATTAAACACTTTGTTGAAGTTTGTCTCCCTATTAACTAGTTCCAGTTGATAGAATTTTTTGTCATCCTAATAAGGAAAAAATAAGTTCATATTGTTTTCAGTATATTTAGTAATTGCAATTATTAAGCTATTATAATTAAATAATACTCACACAAAAATCCTTACTTCAAATATGAAAGTCCTGAAATTGAATTAAGACTGGCATCACGTGTTCCATTTATATGATAATTTGTGGCATTTCTAGAACCCTTCTCTACAGTGGCATTAGCTTTCTTACTTTGTACTGAGTTCAAAGATTTTATAAGATTATTTTTTTGCTCTCCCCTATTCGAGACACAGGAAGCCACAAGGGGTTCATGTTAGCAGGTCCCTTACCAGCAAAACTCAGAAAATTATACTATTAGGAAACATATTAAAAATAAATATTGATTATATAGATGCCAGCCAGGAAGGAGAAGGTAACCCCCCTAATGTTTTAAAATCCACTTAGGATTGTGATTTATCTATAGTACAAAAAGGTACAATTTTAGGAGTATCTTTTTCAGTATACATTTGTCCTAAACAGAATACAGTGACTGAATAGAATTAAATTATTTTAAAGAATAAATTATAAACAACTGTTTAAGAGTACAAAAACATGCAAAATTGTGTGTGCAGCTTAGATAACTGAGATTAAAACTAATTAAAAGTCATTCTCATTTAGATTGTTTCACACATAACAGCTATTTTAGAATTATTTATTTTTCCAGAGATTTGACAAAAAATATTAGTGTCTGACATGCTCACAACAAAGGCCACCAAACTATCTTACAATCAGCTTCTTTATCAGCTGATCCCTCTCAGCAATCAGGTCTTTCAGCTCTGCAATAAGCTGCAGGTCTTCTGGCCTTGATTCCCTGTTTTGATATTTATCTTCCATTTCTTCTAAACTTTATAGAAGACAAAAGTATCACCAATGGATTAATAATGGACCAAAGTTAAAAGATAATACTATAAAACCAAATTATCAAATTGATTAAATAAATAAATCTATTATATCTAAAAAGAGATATAGCTTTCTACCTATAAACAGATCTCTTTGATTGTTGGCTATGCTAAAGAAAATGCTATCATAAGTTGAAACAACACAACCTCAGTAATAAAATTACAGTGACCCAACTACTGTGTAAGGAAGTATCATGTTAACAACTGAAAAAAAGTTAATATAAGCAGCCAAAACACCACAGAAAGAAAACAGAAATTAAGATAATTGCAGAAAAGTTCTAAAAAGACAGTGAAGAAGCATTAAAGGAGTGAATGGAAATAAGGAAATTAATTTATAGAGAAGTTATATTGAAAGGCCAAGAAAACAGAGCCTTGCATTTGTAGAAAAGTTAATAACTTTTGAATTAACCTTTCAGATTGCTACCTGGTTTTGGACTTTCATACAAATTTTAACAGACAAGGGTGAACATTGATCAAACTGAAGCTAAATCCTGACATGATGGAGATCATATGGATTATTGGGTGAGTCGATTTGGGTGCAGCTGCAGAATCCGTTTTATGAAGGGGGTTGCATATACTATATATATTAAAGAGTATGTATACTGAAAGTTGGATTTTATCCTCTCAATGACTTTAATAACTGCAGGCCTTTTGCCAACTTGCTCTGTGGCCCAATGCAAAGAAAATGGACATTGGTCTATAATACAATATCTGACTAAATTACTGAAGTACACACTTTAGTGACTTCTTTTACTGCCAATTTATGAATCTCAGTGGATGTGGAGTATACGAGAGGTGTTCAGACTATATTATCCTAAATTTATAGCAAGTACACCAATTGCTTTTTTCTTACTATACCTAATTTAAAATTCTGCTTTGGTTTTAAAAGTCCTTCATGATTTTAATCAGGTTTTCTGAAGGGTTACCAGCATTCATAAAATATGAATGACACTATCCTCTCAAGTTTAACACCAGAACTTCTCAGGTTCACAGCTACCAATCATATGTTCTACTCAGCCATGCTCACATGGAACTCTTTTATCCCCTAAATGCAAATGGACTATATTTGGAAACTTTAAAAACTCTTATGAAATACTTATTTACTTCATTAAAATCTTCAGCTTTTATTCGGGTATTATGTAGTAAAACTAATTATGATTTCATTATATTTTATGATAAATATTATTATATTGTATAAAATCTTCTACCCTACCTTAAAGAGGCAATTTAGACTATTCCCCTGACTTACAGAAAGCTTTATGCTTCTTTATTACAAGAAGGAAAAATTAAACAGAAAAAATATTATTTCAGGCAATTTGCCAGTTCAAATTTCACTCCAAATGGGACCTTACAGTTTTAAAAGAAGCATACCTATACAAACAGCTATTTAACTTTGAACATACATTATTCTCTAAGCTTCAGGCACAGGTGAGTAACAGCTGAGCAACTAGAGTTTACACAATCTATAATGTCCTTGCACTGTAAAGATATCCAATAACTATTATTAGTTGGTAGCCATAACATTTGAGAATTTAAAAAGATGCATAGTTGGCATTTTTCCAAAGACATTATATTTTCCTCCAATAATAAAATTATCCAAAAAGCTATTTTAAGATAAGTCAGTGCTCAACAATTGGGAAACTAAACTGGAAATTAAATAGAAGACATAGCTTCAGTGTTATGAAATTATAAGATTACAAAGAGAAACATGGAGCACAGAAATATAAGGAATATACAATGGCATTAAGTGTTTGTGGGAAGACACAGTCCATTCAAAATCATTAATGTAAAGACTATAATGTAATATGGGAATTATTAGTTTTTAAAATATTGCATCACCTTAAACAGGCACAAAAATAGTTATGAGAAGCTTACCAAGCATCCTTAGTGTCATGTTCAGAAGTCCTAATAAAACTATGTATTAAGCAGTGGTATGTGTTTGATTTGGCTGAATCTCAGATCATGAGGAAGAAAAGGGTTACTTGAGAAAGGTTTACCTGGGGCAAAGCTGATTAATCTGAACTCTCTGTTCTGATTTTGAGCTTCCAGGAAGCTTCTGGTCTATTTTTCTACAGCGTTCCAGGAGACACTGAAAATGTTCCTTTACTGAACTATGGAGCTTTGCAGATCCCTAATCTGCAGCACTGCTATTGCTATGAAAGTGTAGCGCTATGGTAGTCACAGGGAACTGTTCCCAACATTTTCATTGCCAAGGCAAAATACCATGGAGGACAAAGGAGAGAGGAGGAGGCGTAGATTCAGCGATCAGTTAATCCTTCAAATCAAGGGATTATGTAATCAGATCACCATTGGTTGATCCAAGCATATCATCTCAGTGGTAGTGATGGAGAAAATCTGACAGATCCTTGATCATTTTCTGATTCACTGATACCCAGCCTCTTGTCTTATGAGTTTATGGGACTATGTTTCTGAACTGCATCACCTAGCTAACTGACAACTGACTGATTTTATGAGAATGCCCAGTGTGTTAGTCCCTTATACATTTGCATCAACCCCCAACACTTAATATATTACAGGGGTTGAATGGAATTATGAATTGGATCCCTTCCCATTTTTTCCTGTGGGTTCAATTCTGCATTCCCTGTATGTTGAAATGCTTCTGTCAAAGTTAGCGGATATACTAAGCTTCTCAGTTATATGTACTTTTACAAGGCTATGCCTCTCCAGTATAAATTGGAAATAAATAATATAATTACATATTATTCCATTCAAACTTAGCCCATATATGAATTGTTCAAGGTAGTAAAACTTACGAAACTTGCAAAGCTGAATTAATTTCCTTGAGCAGCTCCTGGGTCTTATTAAAATCTGCCAGCATGCTTTGTTTCTCTCTGATGTGGTCAGCTGTCATGATATCCAACTCTTTCTCGTGTTTCTTGCTTAAATCTTGTTCATGTAGCCTGTTTAATTCATTTTATGTTAAAAACAGTTATTCTTATGTCAGTTGGCTTTGTTAATCTTGACTTCCTGCCATATTTGAAAAGGCTTTGTGCACAGTGATACTAATGAGGAGCACAGATTATCCCTGCTGCAATTAAGTTGTTTGCAGCTAAAGCCCAAGCACAACTGCTATACGGGGCTCAATTGGTAACAGTATAGTTACCTTAGAAAGAATACAAACAAAATTTCTAAGAAACATCTTCCAGGTTACCTCCTGCATTCCAAAATTCTGTATTTCAATGGGAAGCAGGAGTCAATAAACTTGAATCCAATCTCTGGATAAAGATCTTTATCTCCTGGTTAAAATTACATCACAACCCATTTTATATAGGCGGATAACTTCACATCCTCTTGAGAAATAGCTATTTAAAAGAAACTGAGTCTCTATGGTTTCTCCAGTGATGCCATCTTAACCTTAGAGTCAGATCAAGCTAGATCAATGTCAAGGCAAAGGACCTTAGATATAGAAGGCCAAACAGAAACTGCTACATTTTCTCATTATATAATTGCTAATAACCAAATTTTAGTGCCTAAACCAGCTTCATGTTTATATCATGTTACAGTCCCCAAATTCAGGA